CACAGAAATACATGTACTCTGCCAGGGACTATTAAAGGGGTAAGCCAAAAAAAAGTAAAATCCTAACAATTCTCAATGAAAATTAAAAAATGAAACTTTCAAACATGAGTTTCTTTCTTTTGTTATACACAAACTATGTGTATAATGAATAATTCTGGTGACAGTTAGTCATTGTTGAAATTATAATCAAGTAGGCCTACTTTACATGTCCATTATGTAAGTCAACAAGGGATTGTTCACCCTAAAATTAGCATTTTTTTATTGACATAAATAAATGAACTTATTATTTGTTCACCCTTGAGTGGTTCCAAACCTTTATGAGTTTTTATTCTGTCGTATACAAAAGATATTTTGAAGAAAGCTGAAAACCTGTTACCATTGCCCTATAGAAAAAACAAATACCATGGAAGTCAATAGGCTTTCTTCAAAACATTTTTTTGTGTGTGTGTGTGTGTTGACCAGAAGAAAAAAAATACAATAGGTTTGGAGAAAGTAAGAGTTAGGTAAATAAGGATAAAATGTACTTTTTTTGGGGTGAACTATTCCTTGAAAATAAATGTACTTCTTTAAAACACAATATTAAACATTATGATAATGTATGCACAAAGTGCACTTAAGTGTGCTAAATAGCACAGTTTTGAAAGTGAACTTAAAAATAACTAATTTGATTATTTTTCATTAAAATTCTGTTATATGTAAGTACAGTTAAAAATGATTTCAAGATTTGAAGCGCACATACAGTTAGCATTCATTAAGCACACTTCTTTTCCATGAGGGATTATGAAAATAGGATTTTTAGTTTGCAATTATTGCAATGTCTGATACCTACATACACTTTCAGTTGAAGTCAGAATTATTAGCCCCCTTTGATTTTTTTTTCTTTTTTAAATATTTCCCTAATGATGTTTAACAGAACAATGAAATGTTCACATTATGTCTGATAATATTTTTTATCTTCTGGGTAAAGTCTTATTTGATTTATTTCAACTAAAATAAAACCAGTTTTTAATAATAATAAAAAAAAAACATTTTAAGGTCAAAATAATTAGCCCATTAAGCTATGTGTTTTTTCGATAGTCTACAGAACAAAGTACTGTTATACAATAACTTGCCCAATTACCCTAACTTGCCTAGTTAACCTAAACTAATTAAGCCTTTAAATGTCACTTTAAGCTGAAAACTATCTTAACAAGTATCTAGCAAAATAATATTTACTGTCATTATTGCAACGATAAAATACATCGATTATTAGAAATGAGTTATTAAAACTATTATGTTTAGAAGTGTGTTTAAAAAAGTCTGCTCTCTGTTAAACAGAATACATAATATATATATATTAAACAGGAGGCCCATTAATTCAGGGGGGCTGTTTATTCTGACTTCAATTGTACATTTATCTACACTCAATGTTGATGTATTACATTTTTAAGGTGAATTACTTGAATTGTACATACATTAAACATAATATTAAACTGACTTAAATATGTGTTGCCACAACTTAATCATATATAGTTTTTTACAGAAATAAAAAGATTACAACTAAAGAGCAAAGCAATGACAATTAAGAAACTTAAATTTTAAAAGTAAAAACTATAAAATTCAATAATTTTCTTGTCGGCTTAGTCCCTTTATTAATCTGGGGCTGCCACAGCGGAATGAACCGCCCACTTATCCAGCAAGTTTTTACGCAGCGGATGCTCTTCCAGCCGCAACCCATCTCTTGGAAAAAAAATATAAAATTGTGTTTTATTTTAAAATTTACTTAAAATCTTTATGTATATAGCAGTAAAAGATGAATGCCTTCCTCTGTAGTCCCTAAACTTTCAAAAAGTGATTAGCTGACTTAAAACAGTGGAGATGATAGTGGACTTCAGGAGAAACCCCCTGTTCTGCCCCAACTGAGCATCATGGAGAGCATTGTGGCAGCCGTGGAGTCATTCAGGTTCCTGGGCACCACTATCTCTTAGGACCTGAAGTGGGACACTCACATAGTGGAAATGCGGCTATTGACTCTGTTGACAAAAAAGCTCAACAGAGGATGTACTTTCTTCGTCAGCTGAGGAAGTTCAACCTCCCAAAGAAGCTGCTGAAACAGTTCTACACCTCCATCATTGAATCAGTCATCTGCACACCAGTAACTGTCTGGTTCAGCTACCAAATCCAACCTCCAATGACTAAGTAGAATAGTTCGGACTGCTGAGCGAATCATTCGTAGGCTACAACCTTCCCTACTATCCAAGAACCTTATTTAACAACTTTACATACCAAATTGCACATAACAGCTGCTCATATAACATTGTATATAATAATATAGCTCTACATATACACTTGTCTATTTGTATATTTGCATTTACTACTTACTGCTTTTTTATATATTTATTATCTGTTTTTTTCCTGTCTCTGTAATTCTGTTGCACTGTAGAAGCTTTCACGAAAACAAATTCCTGTGCTAACATACCTGGCAATAAAGCTCTTTCTGATTCTGATTAAAAAAAAAGAAGTTGAGTAAACCCATTGCTTTAAAATATAAAGTAAACAAACTGATTTTATAGTTATAAAAATATAGCCTACTTTTATAATTATAAAAATTAAGTTTAATCAAATTAACACAAAACTGGTAAATTTTTTATGTAAAGTCAACTTTGTTGTATGAATAAATAAGTCACTGATAGTCTGATATCCAGAAAACACATTTATCTAAGATAAGACATTGGAAAAATTCCTGTCTGCAAACGTCAGCCTCATTGAACACAAACGCAGATAAAAACTGATTATGCTCTCCTCTTTTCTTACTCTCACCTCTTTTTTGCATTTAAAAACTCAGAGCAAAGCTCGAGCCATTGTGCCTATGTAAATATTTCCCAGCGCTTGCATAATGACAAGGCATTTCATTGCGTGTAAAGAGGATCTGTATTCAGTAAGGTATGGAGAAGAACAAGTCCAACCAGAAACCAGTGCCGTCAGTAGCACATCTAAATATTTATATCCAGCAGGTTTCAAGACAGTTTTTTCCCCCAGAAATAGTTCTAAAACTAAAGCAGTAAACATTCAGTAGTTGATCAAACTAAAAAATATCATTTATCACTTTATTATACATTTGCATCTTTAGAATGTTTACCAATCATTTCAATCTTATTTATAAAGCTTTAAGCATCATTTGGCATGTTGCTCTTTACGCTTTAATCAAACATTTCAGATGAAAGTCAATGGTTTAAGTAATCCCACAGTTTCTTACCTGTAGTGCCTTTAGTGTTTGTAGTGAGTCGCTCTTGTCTCTTTCAGTATGGTGAGTTTCATAAAGTGAATCAGACCACAAAGTACACAGGTGTGTTTTCAGCAAGAGGAGGAGCCACACAAAGCCTGCCTTGTACTTTACACTGAGTCACAAACCCCAGATAAATGACTCGAATGCCTTCAAAGTGTTGCAGATTTTATTGCTAGTATGATTAAGGCAGTGTTTCAACTTTAAACAAAAATTTTCAATAAACTTTTTTTAAATAAACAACATCTCAATGTACATTCTCTTATATAAATGTGTTTAATAAAAATGTGCATTTACACAACTTTTTGACTTCATAGTGTTTGGATACACCCGAAGCAAAGGACAATTTCAGCATAAAACCTTATAACTTTTATGTAATTTTATTAAAGTTACCTGCAAGACCAACAATAATGATTTCCGTAGTAAATAAATATATAGATTGTGATAAAATATAGATGTCACCATAAGATCATTTGGCAGCTACAAATGGATACAATAATAAAATGTAAAAAAAAAAAAAAAAAAAAATAGTGAAATGAAAAACAATGAAACAACAGTAAAGAAAAAAAAAACTTAGAAACAAAAACCGTCAATCAGTCTCAGGCATGTGTCATATCTGGCAAATGCAAAGATCACTGTATTTCATCTTCAAAAACACTTTTCACACTAAGCTTAAAGAAATAGTTCACCCCAATATGAACATTTACTTCCTCAAGTGGTTGTAAACCTTAATGATTTTCTATATATATACAGTTTTATATACTCGATTTTATTTACATCTGAAGTAAAAATGATTTACCCGTTTGTGAAGTTTAAATTTTAAATGGAGAGATGATTTTTCAACATAGTTTTCTGTAGAATAATGTAGCACAGTAGATTGTCAAATATATATATGTATATGATTGTCAAATATATATATATCTTAAAGCGGATAATAATATCAACCTAAGAAAAGTTTTTTTCAAATATATATATTTTTTTACAGTCAAACTAAAAGAAACAAGACAAGTTTCTGAAACATTATTTGTTTATATTAAATTACAAACAAGTTTTAGAAACAAATAATAACTTCACTTCTAGTTGATCATTTGTTATCAGAAGTGGCTTTTTTGAGGCAAAGGCCTCTAGATTACGCTTATTTTACAAAAATAAAATATGATTATGCTGAGGTTTTTAATAACTTAATTAGGACATAAAATCTGACTTTGCTTAGACAAAAGTCTTGTCACTTAACAGAAATAATGTTCAGTATAGAATATAAAGTCATAGTGCAGTGGAAAAAGAATGAATACCTATGATATGAGCTTGGATGACTTCAAATAACTTATTAATAAAGTCATCTGGAATAGCAAAGAAAGCATTCTTGCAATAAAGAGAGTTCATCAAGATTATTTGAAGATTAGTCATCTTCAATCCTTTCTCCTTTATCTTACCCTAGACATGCTCAATAATGGTCATGTCTGGTGGCCGGGATAGCCAATCCTGGAGCACTTTGACCTTTTTTTTGCTTTCAGGAAATTTGATGTGGAGGGTGAAGTATGAGAAGGAGTGCTATCTTGCTAAAGAATTTGCCCTCTCCTGTGGTTTGTAATGTAATGGGCAGCACAAATGATTTGATCCCTTATGTTTTTGATGTTGCCATCCACTTTGCAGATCTCTCGCATGCCCCATACTAAATGTGACCACAAATCATGATTTTTCCTTTACCAAACTTGACTGATCTCTGTGAGAATCTTGGGTCCATGTGGGTTCCATTAGGTCTTTTGCAGTATTTGTGGTTATTGGGATACAGTTCAACAGATGATTCATGGGAGTAATCTACCTGCTGCTACAGTACTTTTTCAAATGATCAACTAAAAGACTAGAAGAATCAACTTAAGTTTTATTTGTCCTTCTTACAACTGAGATCGACGACAAGACTTTTGTCATGTAGTGTGTATATGCTCAACAATATAAAGAAACCCAAACCCAAATATAAGTTTGCAACAAGTTAAAGATGAGCAAATTACAGCAGAATTAATTTTTTTTTGGTGAACCCAGGTTACCATTATTCTGCTTTCAACCCTGTTTAAAGGTAAGTTTGACACTTTACATAAACAGGCTGAATACTTGAGAACATGCCAACAAGGTCGTCAACCCAAGGTTTTATAGTGTTTACTGTAAAACGTCAGCATTTGAATCCACAGGATTAATTGTTAACCTCTGTTGTATGAGTAGTGTGAAGCACAAAGCAGCGTGCAATATAAGGGCTTGGTATTATATAATATTTTGGTATGTCTGTCTTTCATAAAAAATGTGTGACAACATTCAAATTTAAAAATAAGGTTTGAGAAAATCACTATGGCAAATCCTACCACATGCACATTCATTTATATACTATATAGAATATATTTTAGAGGTTGCAAAGTAATAATTTATTTTAAAAAAAATTATTCTGCCAGCTCAAGAGAAATTTAATCTTTGACTCAAAATTTGAATTCAAAAGCAGATTTATTCAGGGACAAAGCAGCAGTGTTGCTGTGAGATGCCCAAATATTCTGCTCTGGCTTTGTTCAAAATCATTTTTAGAAAAGATAATTCCTGAGGAAAAACTACTTAATTAAAGAGGTTTTGTATTTAATTTGTTACTGTACAACACTGCGTATAGGTAAATATTTGTTCCAGAGACAACTATCTGAATATCTAGATTCTGGGGGTTTTAAAAATGTAAATACCTAGAAACAGTTCTAAGTGAAGTTCCTAAAGCAAAATTGATATATATGTGCATTAGAAATTTTATTTTTGGGTATTCCCACAAAATATAATATTTTTAATTACATATTACCCCAGAAAAATAAAAACAAAAACAAAAATGGACTAGGTGGAATCCCTGAGGGCATCTGGAAATGAGCTGGATATGTAGCTCCATGCTGCATTTACTGCTCCTCCAAGTACTCCACCAAGACCAGCACCAATAGCAGCTCCGATTGCCATTCCTTCATTTCCCACTGCAAACCCCAGAAGTGCCCCAACAAACGCTCCTTTCCCCACAGCAACAGCATAATCAACAACTCTAAGTGTGAAGCCAATTTTATCAGCGACGGCCAGCTCTGCTTTTTCTCTGCACTCTATCTGTATCTTATCTTCATAGTTCTTCATCTCTCTGACCAGAGCTTCTCCTGAATGCTTCTTCTCCAGCATTTCCATTGTCTGCCTGATCTGCTTCTCCATGGATTTTCTGATGAAGCGCTCCTCGATCTGAATTCTTTTATCAGCATCCTTGAACTCCATGTTTGAGTAAACTCCATGCTCCGAGACCATCTCATCAATCTTGGTGAACAGAGCTTGTGTCTGGCTTCCCTCATGAGTCTGGTTCATTTCTTCATTGAAGAACAGGTAATTGTGGCCACATTTCTCTGCAATCTCCCTAAAGCTCTTATTCCTCTTCACCTCATCCTCTATGGACAGAGCTCTCCGATTTTTCTTTTGGTATAAAACAATCAGTATGTGCTTCAAAACTTGTTCACCAAAGTAGTGCACCACAGGCTTAAGTATGTCTGTAGTGTCTGCGGTCAAATGAAGCGCATCTAGAATGAGCAGCACAGCATGAGGACCAGGACAAGAGCAACAAACAGCCTTCCTCAGTTCCCTCTGGACGATACGATCCGGTAAGCCTCTGTTATCCTGAAGATTTGGGGTATTGATCAGAGTTGTTTTTCTTTCCTGAACGACCCCTGAGCTTTTCTTGGTTGCTAAAATGTTGACTTCAAATCTGGAAAAGACGTCTTGCCCCAATATAGACTGGGAAGTTGAGATCTGAACATCACTAGAGCTGCCGAAGATCAGCATCCTTAGTGGTGTTTCACTGCTCACTGTGAGGTGAAGGTTAAAGTAGATTTATTATTAAGCATTTTGTTATTCACTGAATTATTCTGAAATGCTGGTCAACTCACTGTTAGGAGGGCTGTCTAAGCTATCTCTTCTCCGTGTTTTCTCTTTGACTGTCGCCATACTAAGAGTAGTGCTGACAGGAGATGAAGAATTGGAGATATGCTATCCTATTAAAGAAAAACAGAATAACAGATTACATTTTTAAATGGATAACTGACTATGAAAAAAAAAAACATATTGTTAATCAGTGCTTACTAAGTTTAAGATACTCCCAAAAAAAGTAACTAGTAGCCGTTACTTTTATAAAAAGCAATACGTTACGTTAATTTTGTGTTACTTTTTCTGACCTGGCTGAGGCTTGATCTCTTTCAGAACTTGCAGGGTTTTTTTTTCTTCTTTTTTTCAAATAGAGGAGCTCTGTAATTAACAACGGACTGCATAACCTTAATTTACATATAAATAAAAAAAATAATTAATGTAGGATAATGTTATCTTCTAAGAACTTCCTGACCCCAGAGATATCCATGCTGTACAGACAGATCAAGGAAAGTTTAAAGCAATGCGTTTGCTTTTGTACTTTTTGTCCATTCAGATAATCTACTTTTCCTTCTCTTTCATGTGTTCAAAATTAAAAGAATATTTCTATCGCAGGAATGTAAGGCTCTGTCATCTTCCTGTTCCTGTATTCTTTCATTGCGTGCAGGATTCAGTGTGATTATGATCATTTTAATTCAGTAATTTGTTTTTAAAAGCATATTAACTAAACTAAAAAGCAACACCCATTACAATTTAAAAAAAGTAACTCAAATATTGTTTCTTAATTATGAAAAGTGTTACTCGTTACTTAGAAAAGTAAAAATATTACATTTCTAACTTGTATTACTTTTAAGGCGTTACCCCAACACTGCTGTTAATTATGAGTTTCTGTCTTATCCTGTAGTCAACATTAGATTTTTAAACATTTAAAGTAAAATGATTACATACGGCAACGCGGTGGCTAAGTAGATAGTGCTGTTGCCTCACAGCAAGAAGGTCACTGGTTTAAGGCTGGGCTGGGCCAGTTGGCATTTCTGTGGAGTTTGCATGTTCTCCCCGCATTCGCGTGGGTTTCCTACGGGTGCTTCAGTTTTCCCCGTGAATTGAGTAAGCTAAAATTGTTCTTAGTGTATGTGTGTGAATAAGAGTGTATGTGTGTTCCCCAGAGATGGGTTGCAGCTAGAAGGGCACTCGCTTCATAAAACATATGCTGGATAAGTTGACGGTTCATCGGCTGTGGCGACCCCAGATTAATAAAAAAGGGACTAAGCCGAAAAGTAAATGAATAAATGAACAATTACATACTGTAATCACTTATTCAGTTATATATTTAAATAAGTAGAGATCAGAATTACTTTATATTTTACAGTGAGATAAATTGTCCATGATTTGGGGAGTAACTATATATATACAGTTGAAGTCAGAATTATTAGCCCCCTTTTGATTTTGATTTTCTTTTTTAATTATTTCCCAAATGAACTTTGACAGAGCAATAAAATTTTCACAGTATGTCTGATAATATTTTTTCTTCTGGAGAAAGTCTTGTTTGTTTTATTTCGGCTAGAATAAAAGCAGTTATTAATTTTTTTAAAACCATTTTTGGGACATAATTATTAGCCCCTTTAAGCTAATTTTTTTTTTCGATAATCTACAGAACGAACTATCATTATACAATAACGACTAATTACCCTAACCTGCCTAGTTCACCTTATTAACCTAGTTAAGCCTTTTGATGTCACTTTAAGCTGTATAGAAGTGTCTTGATAAATATCTAGTCAAATATTATTTACTGTCATCATGGAAAAGATAAAATAAATCAGTTACTAGAAATAAGTTTTTAAAACTATTATGCTTAGAAATGTGCTGAAACAATCTTCCCAGATCAGAACAGAAATTGGGGAAAAAAATAAACAGGGGTGCTAATAATTCAGGAGGGCTAATAATTCTGACTTCAACTGTATATATATATATATATATATATATATATATATATATATATATATATATATATATATATACATACATCAAACAACCCATAAAAACAAAATATTGAGATGTCAGCTATTACAATAAAAGTATTTTTTCCAAAAGAAACATTGACTTACAGAAATTTTTGAAGGTCATGCGCATTAGGCATCGAGATATGCAGTCTCAGCTTGCATCAAGGTTGCATTCAGATACTATTGGCACATCCACCCTCCATCCAATCAGCGGCATGCAGCATCCTACTATAAACAATTTTAAGTGCAGAGATACAGCTTTTGGTGTGTGTGTGTGTGTGTGTGTGTGTGTGTGTGTGTGTGTGTTTGTGTTTTTTTAATGAAATGCTGGCTATGCATGTTTACATTATTTGCAAGTGAAAATACTACACAAGCTGTGCAAAATTAAACATACAAACAAATCACATAATTATATGAAGAAACTGTGTTCACAATGTGTTAAATTTCTGATATAATAACTACGAGAGTTAAAAAAATACGAATAATACATTGTGATAGAACTTGAAAAGAGCATTTTTCTTCGCCCCAAAAAAAGGTTCTTAAAAAAGGTTAGCAAAATTTCCTCATAGTCCTGCCCACTCAATGATGACCAGACTTTCTACTGGTTTCGATTTTAAAATCTTCAGTAGCCTATATTAAAAGCAAAATAGCTAATTTAAAAAATATGTTTTCAAATGTTTAAAAATAGCCGTTTCATGAAACTGAATAAAGCAGAAAATCGTATGAATAGCTGTTTCATTAATCTCAGTTAATGAGATTAATGTTGCGTTAAACGCATTGATTTGTGCACAACTACTGTTCATAACAGTTTCATAATCAAACTATCTCGTATCACAGTCCTAGGTCGAATCATTGTCCTAATATTGTAGATTTTGCACAACTTGCGTGTTCTTATTTTCTTCTTTAAGAATATTGTACATACCCATTCTCTTTTCTTTTTCCTCAAACGAGTTGATAAAATGCGACAGAAATTGACTGGGAAAAAAGACAGTGCGCGTGAGGCTTCCTGTATTTCGCAACTTTTATTAGTTAACCCTCAATGGTGTATACAAAACCGATTTTGCATCAACATGTTGAAGAATCGGGATAAAGCCAAGTAAAATAATGTATATGATCAGTAAACTCTCCTTAATAGATAGGCCTTAAAGCGAATAGCTTATGTAAACATTTTTAATGTTTATACTTAATTTTTTTATTAGAGAGAGAGAGAGAGAGAGAGAGAGAGAGAGAGAGAGAGAGAATTATCTGTCAATACGATTAAAATTTTATTAAAAATGTACTGGATATTTCATACATAATATGCAGGTGTTGCTCGACCATTGAAGAATACCAAATAAAATAATTTTGAATACATGTACAATTCATTAGAACAGAATAAATTGGAATAAAAATACAGTTAAAAAAAGTATATTATAATAAACTGTACAATGCAAAATTGTGTCTTTTGGTCGTAAACTTTTTAAACACATATATACCACACCTGAGTATAAAGTACATAACATGTCAATGCATGACCTCTAAAGTATGTACATCGTATCCAGGGGTGTGGTGTAATACTTTAAGATCTGTTTTGTGCCACAGAAGTTCTTCTAACGATACAATACTTTGTTTATGGCTTTAGTAAATAATAAACTAGAAGGTCTAAATAGGCTTAAAGTAAAATAATTAAAGAACAATCTGGTGTGACAATATTTTAAATATTTTTTGTTTGTTAAATATGGTTCAAAACAGCTTGCCAAATTAAATTTTTTGGGTGCTAAATTGTTGCGTATCTTTCTCTCCTCATTCCTGACGCTCTCCTTTGCACTATTGTAAAATTGATTGAACCCCTTGGCAATGACATAATAGGCAGGTGTGGCTTTGTATATAGTCTGTCGGATCAGACAAGTAAAAATTAACATGAATACAAAAAACGACCTAACAGGAGAATCTCGGGTTGTTCAAATTCTAAATGAAAACAACTCTGAAACGATTCACTACAGTCAAATAAATTCATGTCATGTTTATTTATTTAGCAGTTAATAGAGCTTAATCCTTTAAAGCAGGGGTGCCCATTTTTTTTTCTTACAAAGGGCCAAAAACCAAACTAGATTGAGGCTAGTGGGCCGAAGGTAAATATAGCTGCCATGGGTACTTTCTAATTTATTTAAAAATAACTAGAAAACATTGCTTTGTATTAACTAATGCAGTATACATTTTTCTTTACATTTTTATAATGAACATATTACAGTAAAAACAATCTCATTTTTAACAAAATAGAGTTACACAAGTCAAGCTGTACCTGATTTTTCCTTGAATTGCTCGCAGATGCCTTCTGAATTGTCGAGTGACAGAAATTGTATATATTTTTAAGTATTTATTTATGTATTTACAATTAACATTTAAATGAAACATTTTATTTCAATTTGTTGTTTTTCATAGATCAGCTATAAAACAAACAAACAAACAAACAAACAAACAAATAAACAACCAATCAAAAAAACAAACAAACAAAAAAGTTATTTTGAGCTAAATAACAATCTCTGTTAAAAGCATTTGCCCCAATCCTTTCCATTATTTGTACACTTTTCTCAGATGGCATGGTGGGCCAAATCAAAGGTTCCGTGCACCCTAGATTGAGCATCTCTGCTATAAAGCAACAACTTTAGTATTAAACATGGAAAAAGAGTGTCATACTTGGTGCAAACATATCCACATCGCATTTAGTTTATGGCCCCTTTCTCACCGCTGTCATTTGAGTTATATATGTTTACTTTGTTATTAACAGGAAAAAAGACAACAACAAACATATTTTAACCCCTATCAATAAATGCCTTATTTATATTTATAAGTCTATAATTATATAATTAATACGATTATAATTATTTATATGACTGAGAACCAGCTATGGTGGCAATTCTTAGTTTTGGCACTGCTTTTGGGATAGTATAATGTTGTTCTCACCTACTGTTTTGTGAAAAAGGCTACTATGAATTTGGACATTTGGACATTTACACTTAATTCCTTTGGCATGCTGTTTTATAGTTAGTATGTGATTTCAGATGCTACCGTTTCCATTAATTATGGTAAGAGTGTCAGGTAATCCAGATACTTTTCACACTGCTTGCTGGCAATTAAACAGTTGTAAAGCAGACATATTTAGACTTAGGGATCATTTTTGTAGTTACATTTGATGGCCAGATTTAAAAAAAAAAAGAAACATACAAAGACATCAGCTTTCAGATTGGAGGTGCCCGATAGAAGCGGTTTACAAAGGCTGTGTTAAAGCTGCCTGGATGTGATCCCACTCTGTCATCTATGTGTTCAATGGCCAGCTGTGCAGCAGCACCTGAAGCCCCACCCACAACTCCACCCACAGCCCCGCCCACTGCCATTCCTGCTGGCCCTTCAACAGAGCCCACGATCATTCCCATGGCTGCTCCGGCTACAAACCCCAGTCCCAGTCCCACAGCTAGTGAAGTCCTGAGCCAGCTGTTCTGCAGCTCAGCCTTGGCCCTGATTTCTGCCCCAACACTGGCATTGTAGGCATCAATCTGCCAGCGTAGCTCATCCCCCCGAAACTGCTGCTCCAGCTCCCGGCATGTCCTTTTGGTCTCAGACTGTTTCTTGCTGTGTAGCTTTCTCTCCTCATTCCTGACGCTCTCCTCCGCCCTCTTGTAAGATCGATTAATATAATGGTGTCCGCCCAAAGCCTGGATCATGCGCTCAATCTTATGGATTAGTTCCCTGTTTGCAGCAGGGTTTCTCCAGTTTTTACTGAAGATGTGATAGCGGCAGCTGCACTGCTCCACGAGCTCCCGCAGGTGCCAGTCAGTTCGCATGACTTTATCATTGAGTGCTCTAGAGCTCAGATGCCCATCGTAAACAAAGAGGATCATCGAGTAATTCAGCACATTCTCCCCAAATTTATTCTTAACCAGCTTGGGGGTCTTCAAGTCATTTGGTGAGATCTTCTCCAGTTCGAAAGCAATGAGTATGGCATGAGGTCCAGGTGCTGACAAGCACATGGACCTTCTCATCTCTTTCCTCATCTTGGACTTGGACATGTCTTTGTCATACAGGTTCGGTCCATTGACAACCGCGACTCGTCTTCCTACCAACTCTCCTACATTTTTTTGGCTGCTCGCAATGCTATAGACTTCCTCTGAAAACTCCTCTCTTCCCAAAATGAAGTTGGTGAGAAGGAACTGAGATGGACCACTGCTCCCTATAACCAATATCCTTAGCTCCAAATCACCAAATCCTAGGGGAATAAAACATAATGAGATAAGGAGAAAAATCCTCTAAAAATATAAAAGATGTCATTACTACAGTAGATGCTTTTCCACAGCATGGTACAGCATCGTATGGGGATACTGAATAATCAGAAAAACCTGCTACATTTAAATAGTTAGCAGCTAATCTGAAACACCATTCCAGCAGTGCAACTATAGCAATAATCCAACCTAATCTAAGCAGCACTAAACTGCAGTGGAAATGCGAACTGAGCCGAGCTAAACCAAACTGAAGTCATTCATTCTTTTCGGCTTAGTCCCTTTATTAATCCAGGGTCGCCACAGCAGAATGAACCGCCAACTTATCCAGCATTTGTTTTACACAGCGGATGTCTTTCCAGCTGCAACCCATCTCTGGGAAACATCCACACACACTCATTCACGCTCATACACTACGGACAATTTAGCCCACCCAATTCACCTGTACCGCATGTCTTTGGACTGTGGGAGAAACCGAAACACCCGGAGAAAACCCACACGAACGCAGGGAGAACATGCAAACTCCACACAGAAATGCCAACTGACCCAGCCGAGGCTCGAACCAGCGACCTTCTTGCTGTGAGGTGACAGCACTACCTACTGCGCCACTGCGTCACCTGAAGTAAGTCAAGCTGTCCCAAATTGTACATGGCTTGATCAACTTGGCTATTATAACTTGGCTAAGTAACCAAGTGGCCATTGATGTTCTTATTGTTTGAAACCCACACTAGAAAAATTTAGGTTCAACTAGTATGCTCAGTTCTTAGTGACGGTGTAAATGCAAATAGGAAAACTTACTGGGGAAAATGAGTTCTTGATTGGGCTGGGTAATTAATCAAAATACAAATAGGATTGAACAAAGCTGCAATTGTCATGCGCATCTGGTCAGAGAAGCACAGTTATGTGATCAGCATTAAATCTGCTCTCAAGCATCTCACCCAGAAACTCCAAAAACCCACAAAGAAGAAACTTTATCCCCAGTAGTGTTGCATTTTAAACAGAAGATTTAATTGCTTCCGAGGGGGTAGACCTGGTGCAGTGCAATCTAAGCTGCATCCAGTGCTTTTTAATGGTCTCACCTAACCCTACCCCTCACAATGATGTCACTAGTTCCATTGGAGGCATTGTGTCTGACATGCAGATTTGTAGTCAAGGCTGCATCCATAATGGAGCTTTCATTGTTTCAGTGTGACTACTCATCACAAAACTATGGAATCATTTCACAGAAGAATTTATTTCAAACAAACATCTTGATGTCATTAATGTCAGAATAAATCTATTTTGTTTTTGAACACATTTTTGTGTCGCTTGTCAGTGACCTACTACTACTACTCTATGTAATAAATTCTGCTCCATCTAAAATAACACACTCAAGATTTACAAAAACTTTTGTTGCTCCTTTTTTGCCCTTTCTCATTGAAGTCACCCCCAGATTGCCTAATCCATAACTTAATCTCTAATCATGACCCCATAATCCCTCATCTAGCCTTAAACCTACCCGAATGAAGGGGGAATAGTCTGTCAGGGGTCAGAACTTGGCACAACTTCAGTTAACTGACCTAATGTGCATGCTTATCACCATCAGTTAATCACTCTATAATTCTCAAAGAACTGGGCCTGGTTGCAAGTTCAAATAAATTATTTTTTTTAAGTTGAATAGGTTGTTGACTACCTCTGGAAGTGACCAAAACCAAAGACCAAAATGTTATTTAGACACATCAACATTAATAAATACTAGTCATTTATAGTATATGATATAGTGTTTTTAATCATACAATAGTAAAGTGTATTATACTATAGTATGATTCAAAAACACTATAATATTTACTATAAATTACTAGTATTTATTCATGTTGGTGAGTCTAAATAACATTTTATATACAGTTGAAGTACGAATTATAATCACCCCCCCCCCCCACCACCATTTTTTAATTTTTTTTTTTTATATACTTTCCACATGATGTTTAACAGAGCAAGGACATTTTTCACAGTATGTCTGAATATATTGTTTCTTCTGGAGAAAGTCGCATTTTTTTTATTTCGGCTAGAATAAAAGCAGTTTTTTTAAACATTATTATAAGGACAAAATTATTAGCCCCTTTAAGCTATTTTTTTCATTGTCATAACCATTGTCATACAATAACTTGACTAATTACCTCAACCTGCCTTTAACCTAATCACCTAATTAAGCCACTAAATGTCACTTTAAGCTGTTTAGAAGTGTCTTGAAAAATATCTGGTAAAATATGTACTGTCAGCAAAGATAAAATAAATCAGTTATTAGAAATGAGTTATTAAAACTATTATGTTGAGAAATCTGTTGAAAAAATGTTTATCTGTTAAATAGAAATTGGCGAAAAAGATAAACGGGGGCTAATAAATCTGACTTCAACTGTATAGTATACACAACATTTCTTAATGAATGATACATTTTACTGTTGTATTAACTAGTGAATTGATTAACTGTAATATAGTATACTTTAGTTTTTACTACAGTAAACTGTGGTGTAGCAAATCAAGGAGAAATTATATATATATATATATATATATATATATATATATATATATATATATATATATATATATACATATATTTTTTATTTATTTAAACTTCTTAGATCTTACACATCAAACATGCATTTGCATTTGGGATCTTCTCATATGACATATGTGATGCTGTACCACAAAGTAAATACTATTTTTTAATGAAATATTTGTGGAAGTAGACAAAAGTACACTGTATAGGTAAAATATTTTTTTTTCTTTTATATCAGTAATCATTACATTAATAAGTAAAGATCATGTTCTATTAAAATTGTTTGTCCATTTTCAATGTAAATATATCATAACTGCATTTTATTTGTAATGTGCATGCTAAGCTTTTAATTTAAACAAGTTTACAGTTGATTTTTTTCAGTATACCGATGTTTTTGCATCCTCAGATTACAAATGCTCAAATAGTTAAATCTCAACCAAATATTGACATATACTAACAAATACCATACATCAATAAAAGGCTTATTTATTCAGCTGTTGGATGGTTCTAAAATAAAAATAGACATGCATGACTGGTTTTGTAGTCCAAGGTCACATATTTAAACATTTTAAATAATTAAAAAGTTTATTCTTTTTTATTTTAAAATGTATCTTAACTAGTAAATAGCATTACAATACATTCAAGTATTTTACAAATACTTATATACTTATATAAGTATATATTGGTGATCACATCAACATGTAAACCACAATAAGCATAGTCATGCATTTACGAAAATATGTATTTTTTTTTAAATAAATATACATTTAAGATTTCATTATACAACAACTCCACATTCAATAAAACTGAGCAGACATATTGCATTTTACACACGCTGCATGCTGTGAAGAAATGTGCAACTTACCTGCTCTTTTAGGCATATTTTCAGAGGTTGCCTTGATTTAATATTGATGTTCTTGACAACTGAAAAATTTCTATTTCAGTATTAAATAAAATAATAGTCAGATGCCACATTGCATTATTTTTCTGATCTCTTTTGATAATGGTTTAGACCCTGTACTGAATGGAATATAGCCTGGAGGCATGGACAATTGAGTGTACTCATGCGCACCATTCCACCCAAACACATGACATTGATTTTGACCGCATTAGCTACTGTGAGATGTGAATCATAGTTTTGACAATGTATATAACTTGAAAATTAACTGTCCTTTGTCATCTTGAAAAGCAAGCATATTTTTTCAAATTACAATGGTTGTTATTCTAACCCAAAATTGGATCAAACCAGACTGGTTTGGGTTAAAAAGTTTCATTTAAATATAATATTAAAAATGAACCCAATTAAGAGATTTGTCCACATTTGACCCAACGCTGGTCCAAAAACCCAACATTTGTTTTTTGAGTAATTAGAATATATATATATATATATATATATATATATATATATATATATATATATATATATATATATATATATATATATATATATATATATATATATTTTTTTTTTTTTTTTTTTTTTTTTTTTTAAACCAAACAGACTAACACAGAAGACACAATAATTGATCATGTTTACACAAATACTATTTGCCAGAAATACTAGTAAAAACTGAAATTCTTATAGTTGTTAATTTAGTTTCCTTTGCTTTTAGATATATGTCTTATATTTCTCAAAGAACTAATACACAAATTAAGCATCAAAACTAATGTTGTTTCACTAGATTTATTGTATTTTGAGCTGACCGTCAGTACAATGAATGCTCCTATTTTGACCGTGTTTGACAAAATAAATTATTTACTCCACACTTCATTTCATTTCACACATTTGAATAAATAAATAAATTTTCTTTTTAGTGTGTGTCTGTATATATATTTTTTTACCTTATCTTTATATACCGAGTCCTGGCTGGACCACGAAGCATGTCTGTGTCGATTTGATGTACAGAGAAACTACATTAAATAGTAAATTTGCTTTTATTTATTAAACAGACACTTTTATCCAAGGAGACTTACAAGTGAGGAAAAAAGAAGCACTTTAAATCATCAGAGAGTGCAAATGCCATAAAAGGCCAAATTATTTCACACATAAAGAATTACAATGTTTTCCCAAAAACATGGAGTGTTTTTACGAACCTAGTTTATTTGTCAAGCCCACTGACCAAAAGATACTAAGTGTACTTTATGACTATAATAACAAAAAAAAATCAAAAAATTACTGATCCTCATATACAAAGTCAAAATATGTAAAAATGAAGCAGCATAATGAATTAGATCTGAGTGATAAATTGATTTTCATTTTAAACTATTAAAAACTTAATGCTGACAAATGCCTAAAATCTATATTTAACGGATAATGGAAATATTTTAGATATTTAAATATTTAAAATGACAATACATATTTTGGTCCTTATTAAATTTATACGATCGGATCGGACATTTTTTAAAAAAAAAAATGCCTAACAAGACTTTGACAAACTTTTACTAAATTAAATTTTAGTTTAAGATACATGTAATCCTATTTAAAACGGTTTAAAGTTTAGTAGATACTGACAACCTGTTTTGTCTTTGAACAAAATTGTAGTGGGTGACAATGGTAAAATCACGCCATCGTGTGGTAGCTTTTTTTGTTCTTTGCTTGTTTTTGTTTGTTTGGTTAGATATCTATATATTATTTAAGTCACTAAAACAAAAAACAAAAAATATATATATATATTTTACATTTTTACAAATATATTTTTACTATTCTTTTTTGTTTTGTTATCATAACAAGACCGTTTAGGAGGTGACGCAAAGTGTCGCAGTAAAATAGCACCGTATGGAAAATGCGGCTGTGCGAAGGGTTTTTCAGTCATGTCGACACGAGTTTTAACTTTAACGTTACTGAAAAAGCGACACCTGATGCAGTGTTTTTGGAGTACAGTCGGTTCTGTACATCTGAGATCTATCGCTTCTGATAAAATTCCTTCTCATGCAGTTGAAGCGTCTCTTTATGTACACGTGAGTGTCACGGTTTGACAGTTTCTGCAACTGAGCAGAACAGTCAGTGTATCATGCGCATGTATTTCTTTTGTTCTTCAGTGGCCCTACTGCCTAAAAAGATGCTCCTACTGCAACTTTAACAAGTATATCCTCCGAAGTGAAAACCACGATACCATGACAGAATGTCTGCAGAAAGAGACAGAGACTTTACTGAAACTCAGTCAGGTGTCCAGGTCAGTGTGCTGCTAAAAAGGAAGGCTTAGATTGTATTTGTGATATTTGTAATTCTAACTGTGAAATGTAATTTAAAACGGGTTTTTAAATATCACGTGTAAATAAATGAAAAAATAAATGAAAATAATTGAAAATGTTGGATTACAAAAGTTTACATTGATTATATGGTCAAGAAGAGAAATTAGGAAAGCATGCTGACATACAATATGGAAATATTGTGCTAATTTTTGCTTATTTGTTTCTTTTGTTGAACACAAATCAAGATATATTGAAGAATGTTGGGGGAAAAACAGCCATTGACATCCAAACGAATAAATACTATGGAAGTCAGTGGCAGTTTTTCTTCAGCACATATTAATCTTCATTAATCGTCATTATAAATTAATTCTTCAGCATATTTTCCTTTCTGTTAAACTGAAGAAAGACAGGTTTGGAATGAGTAAATTTTAAACAATAATTACATTTTTTGGTGAACTTTCTCTTTAATTTTGCCTGTTCTGCAGGATTACCTCAGTGTTTTTCGGAGGAGGAACACCCAGTCTGGCTCAGTCCTCCACTATTGCTGCAGTGTTAGAGACCGTGACCAAAAACAGCAATCTTTCAGATCTTGCAGAAGTCACTCTAGAAGTCAATCCAACACCTGCTGGAAAAGCTCGTCTGAAAGACTTCACCCTGGCAGGAGTGAACCGCTTCTCTATCGGAGTTCAGGTGTTAAATGCACACACTGCACTGTTTCCAGAAATAAAGTAATATTTTTTAATGTTCTGACACACACTGTTACTTACATTTTAAAGTGACTAATACAGTATGATGCAATTAAAACAATATTTCAGGAAATTAACCCAAAAACCAAAATTCTACCATCATTTACTTATCTTCCACTTGTTCCAAAATCTGTTGAACACAAAATAACATGCACATCACCACAGTTAAGCATATTTCATATTAGATTTCCCATTGGCAAAATCCGTTTCATTGCAAAAAATGTGTTGGTCTTCACATTTATATTGGTAGTTTATTATGCTTAATAATAAATTAGCTGTTTTTATATTCATAATTTCCATTTCTTTTTCTACACTCAATACTGTCTATAGTTTTTTTTTGTAAGCATATTTATAAATGCACAATAAAATAGTTTCGTAGGCTACAGGTAATCTATTTTGGTAAGGTTTCGCTTTATAAAAAAAAAAAAAAAACTATAGTGCATAGTACTTTGGGTACAATCAGGTGACATTTGTCAACAAATAAAGATTAGAATAAAAGTTAAAGGTGTAAAGTCATCAACCAAAGATTGATATTTTTAGCAGCTACATTATCCTATATTTAGCTATATCATTTCATCTAACATAAGCTTATTCATAAATGGTCGTTATAGTCAGAAATACTATTTCATTCATTCATTTTCTTTTCGGCTTTGTGCCTTTATTAATCTGGGGTCGCCAGAGCGGAATGAACTGCCAGCATATCCAGCATATGTTTCATGCAGCGGATGCCCTTCCAGCTGCAACCCATCTCTGGGAAACATCCATACACAATCATACACTACAAACAATTTAGCCTACCCAATTCACCTGTACCGCATGTCTTTGGACTGTGGGGGAAACCCACACGAACACAGGGACAACATGCAAACTTCACACAGAAATGCCAACTGACACAGCAGAGGCTCAAACCAGCGACCGTCTTGTTGTGAGGCAACAGCACTACCTACTGCAACACCGCATCACCCAGAAATATTTATCCAATTAATTTATTTATTTGCTCAATTATTTAATTTTGGACACATTGGGAGTTTTTTCTTATTTAGAATCATGAACATGCATGCCACGTTTCAACATTTTTTAAATTCCTTTTTAAAATTTTCAATGTTTTTGGTCAATTTGACCCACCGGTTTTGTTTATGTTTATTAAATGTAGTTAATTTTTTGTAAGTAAATATATACAGTTGATGTCAGAATTATATAGTTGACGCCCCGCTTTAAATGATATATTTTTTTGTTGTTTTATATTTCTCAAATGGTGTTTAACAGAACAAGAAAATTTTCAAATGACTTTTTATATATATTTTTTTCTTCTTGAGAGTCTTATTTGTTTTATTTCAGCTAGAATACAAGCAGTTTTCAATAAATAAAAAAAATGAAGGTAAAAATTATTAGCCCTTTAAGTTATCTATTTTTTTTTGCTAGTCTACAGAACAAATCATCGTTATACAATAACTTGCCTAATTAACCTAACCTGCTTGGTTAACCTAATTAACCTAGTTAAGCCTTTAAATGTCACTTTAGAAGTGTCTTGAAAAATATCTAGTCAAGTATAATTTACTGTCATCATGGCAAAGATAAAATAAATCAGTTATAAGAAATTAGTTATTATTATGTTTAGAAATGTGTTAAAAAATCCTCTCTCCGTTAACCAGAAATTGGGGGAAAAATAAACAGGGCAGCAAATAATTCAGGGGAGATAATAATTATGACTTCAACTGTATATTGTATATATAGCTTATTGAGACTGTATATATGTAGTTGACTATTAGGCAGTAAAAAATATGAAACAACATTTAAAAAAAAAACATGTTTATATTTATGTAGTTTTAAGTCTAAGTATCACTAACTTTATCAGTTCTTTCAGCTATAAAACAATTTAAATTGTGAAACAAATTATATTAGTTCAGTTTAGTATAAATCTCACTGTTGAAGTTCAGTTCAGTTTATCTCAGATCAGTTTAATGCAAAGGTCACTACTGAAGGCCGATCCACTGAAGAGCAACTCCACCAATGCACATCTCCACCAGTCCCAACCAAGTAAGCCAGAGGCGACAGTGGCAAACTTCATCAGTTGAAGGAAGAGAACAAAAAACAAAAACCCAGAGGGAAACCAGCCTCGCGATTACTATTCCTCTAGGCGGAGCTGCAGTCTGGACATTGGATCGGAGGCTTGAGAATGATGAACATCTGTCATGTAGAAGGTGGTGGGAGTTCAAACTAGCCAACGAGATCATTGCAGTGACTCTTCTGTCACTGGAGTCTTTGCAGGAATTAGAATTATACTCTTGACTCCTCAATACCCACAACAGCCATCTGTCAGAATACAGGTCAGATTGATGATTATGTAGATGTAAGGAAAACTGACATCAGGGTAGATGCTAACCAGATTACAGTGTCTGTTAATCTGGTTGCCCTGAAAAATGCAACCTAACAATTCATTTGTGTTTTATGTGTATGCTAATACAAAATGTTGTGTCTTTAGTCTAGCTTTAAATAGACCTGTAAAACTGTTTCTGAACAATTTTTGCATTTACCTAAGCCATAGACCTTTTATGTAGATATCAGAGAACAAATTAAGATATTGTATAAATACATTTTATAACACCTTTAATTTAAAATAGTTTAATATGCATTTATGGCAATTGGCATACATTTTTATCAGTTTCTGCATTTGGAAATTTTGCTGATGCATATAGATTTAAACAAGTTTTCCGTTTAAAATGATACATTTTCAAGAAATATTGTTTAAATGCTTTAAAAGCACTTAAGGTTTTTTTTCTGTCAGCAGTGCAATATAGACCAAGTGTGACCTGACTAGTAAGGTTTGGATGAAAATTAAGTTCAGTATGTAGGTTTAGTGAAAAACACCCCATAGGTCAAATGGTTTTTTTTTTTTTCTCCTTAGTCGTTAAATGCCGATCACCTGAGGATACTAGGTAGGGATCACAGTGTCCAGCATGCCCTTCAGACAGTGTCCGAGGCCCGGAAGCTCTGCCCAGGACGTGTGTCAGTGGACATCATGTTTGCTCTTCCAGGTCAAAGCGTATCATGCTGGCAGAAACAGCTGGAGGAGCTGCTTTATGTTTGTGATGATCACATTTCTTTGTATCAGCTGACTCTGGAACGAGGAACCCAGCTTTTTAAACAGGTTGAGAGTGGTAAACTAAGCGTACCTGGAGATGAAGTCACTGCTGTCATGTACAAAACAGCTTGCAGAGTCCTGGAGGAGAGTGGCTTCCATCAATATGAGGTGTCCAACTTCGCCAGAAATGTAAGTTAGGATTTGATCATATTCTTTTATGCTGGAAAAATTGAAGTTCTGAAGTTTTGGTTTGATTCAGAAAAAAATATAGAATGCACTTTCTGTATTCTAAATGATTAGCCCTACTGTGAATTGCCATTCTTTTTCAACTATTTCCCAAATGATGGTAGGCAGACAAGGACAATTTTACAGCATTTTCTTTATATTGTTTTTTTCTTCTAGAGAAATTCCTATGTCAAGTGACTTGCTTAATTAGCTTAGTTAACTTAAATGAACCAAACCTAAATTGACCTAGTTAAGCTATTAAATGTCACTTTAAGGTGAATACTGGCATCTTGCTGTGACGCTATGGCAGTGCGTTACTTAATAAAAATGAGTTATTAAAAGAATTATGTTTTTTTTAACTATTACCTTCAATTTTTACTTTAGCATTATTATATACAATTTACAGTACTTAAAGTCTAAAACACTGCGTGCACGGTTCAATCATTTCTATGCAATTAAATGTATAGAAAAATTATTTTAATAATGAAAAAATAATTTTGTTGTTTTATCAAAAGAATTACTTGATTTCTCATATTAAATCAAGGTTGATTTTTCTGTGAAACATGCATGTTTTTATGAGCTCTTTTATATTTTTTTGGTCACATCATGTAAAAAATTACTTTTCTGCTAACATAAGAATGTGTTTTGAAACGTTTAAAACATCTTGATTTCCATTTATTGTCAGATGACGTTGACAAGTTTTATCAGTGTCTCAGCAGCTTAGTACATGCAAGGCACAAATGCAGTTCCCCTTCGGTTGGGGAACTTCAGTGCTATTAAGTGGATTTGATCTTTGTGAAAATCCACGAAATGGGAGGATTCGGTTCAGAAGCCGCTTGTCTGAAAGAGTATTGAACGGGCCAATGAAAGCAATGAGTTGGCAGCGTAAGCTTGCACAGGTGTGCTTCATTGCCAATTATCCCAGCATATAAGCACACCTGGAGCGAGCAAATGGCATCCTTTTAAGCTGAAGAGACTTTCTGATCGAGTCGATGAGGGTTTCTCCTGCTGTGAACAGCGATTCTGAGCGAACGAGAGCATTCTCCCGGTCCAGAGTGTGTACACGCAGCGGCAGACGGTTGAGCTGGGTTTCTCCCTTGCCTGGCATTCTTTGGGTCTGGTCCTCCAGAGCGGTGCGTATAAAGTTGCAAACTTCACAGAAAGAGCAACACAGTCGTGCATCACGTCATTTTCAGGACGGCGCTCCGACTGTGCGTTTTTGGATGCGGTGGTTTCCTGTTCTCGGATGATGGGCACGGGCACTGCGTTACATGCCTGGGGGGTCTAGCATGTTAATGCGCTGCTCGCGGGTAGTTCATGTCGTCATTGCGATGCCATGACTGTTGCACAGTAAAGATCGCGGCTAGCCTTTGCAAAAAGGCAAACCACCCCAGTTGTCCCCTGCTCTGCAGCGGGCACTCAGGCAGATCTGAAGGTTTCAGCGAGAGATAATCCGTCGCCCATGGGCCCGCGGACCTCCCGCTCCTCTAAGCGCTCCATCCAAGCTTCGGGCGGGGGAAGCGATCCGTCTAACAGATGGTAGCCCTTACGCCCAGATGTCCACTGCGGCATCGGAGGGTGGGCTTTCATTGTCCGATGATGATCCAGACCCGCTCGCCCCCTCCGGGCAGGTGAGCGCTGTCACTATGGATCCTGAAACGGACATTTTAGCCGTGCTTTCCCGGGCTGCTTCGGCCATGGGTTGGAGATGGTTTATCCCCCAGCTCGCGGCCGGACCGACTAGAGGGGTGTTCCCTTCTTCCCGGAGGTGCACAGTAGGCTCACGTGGTCTTGAAAAGCACTTTTTTCTGCTTGTGCTGCGTGTCCCTCCACCCTCACCACTCTTGACACTGGAACAGCCAGGGGGTATGTGGCGATTCCTCAGGTTGAGTGCGCGATGGCGGTCAATCCGCGCGGCGCCTCTTCTTGGCGGGGTCCGCCTCGTCTCCCATCCAAAGCCTGTAAGTTATCTGCCTCCCTCGGAGCTAGAGCTTACTGCTTCCGCCTTGCATGCAATAGCCACCTACCAGCGCTACCAAGCGCAGGCGCTGGCCGAGCTGCACGAGGGTGGGTCCAACCCAGGCTTACGAGCTTCGCACCGCCGCCGACTTAGCTCTTCGGACTACTGAGTCCGCTGCGTGTGCGTTGGGGAGGACGATGTCCACATTAGTGATCCAGGAGCGCCACTCCTGGCTGATATGCGCGAAGTCGACAAAGTCTGCTTTCTTGACTTCCCCATATCCCAAGCCAGGTTCGGCGACACCGTCTGTGAATTCACCCAGGAATTCAAGGCGGTGAGAGAGCAATTGATGGGTGATGTCTTATCGGCGGTCCGTAGCCCGCTCCGCCCGCCGTGCCATTCATACCTGCTCCTTGCCGAAGGCGCCTGTCTACGAGAGCTGCTCCGCCCCCGCACACGCCTCTGGCGAAGCGAGCGCGTCGGGCACCTCGGAAGCAGGCAGCCCCCCCTGCCCAGAACGGACCGCGAAGCGTCCCTGGGACAGGCCATCTGGAGAAGAGGGAACTCCCCGCTGGAGGAGGCACTTTTTACTGCCATGAAAACATCATGAAAGAGCACTTTTCCACTTCCCCGGATGTGACAGCCCGAAATCTGCCAGTCTGGGACGCTATGCTTTCTAGCTTGCAGATTCAGTGCGTTTCGCCAGTGGCTCACGAGCGCTGGGAGGACGGTCTCCTTTCTCCCACCCCTCGAGCCTCTTCTCCGGAGCTCGGGTGCGGAGTGAGAGCAAATATCTCACCTCCAGCTTTTCCGTGGGACCCGCGTGCTTCCCGGATCAGCACACCCACTCCGCGCTGCCCCACTGCTGGTACGTCAGCGATTGTAGCGATGTGTCCATTAGCGAGAGCTCTGCCTGCCTGCTCTGCCTGCCAGCTCTTCGCGGTGGCTCATACGCACAATCAGACTTGGCTATGCGATTCAGTTCGCGAAACGGCCCCCCAAGTCACGGGTGTGTATTCACCAGGGTCAGCCCCCTGTCCGCCCCTGTCTTGCAAGAGGAGATTGCTGTCCTCCTGGCGAAGGATGCAATTGAGCCGCTCCCTCCAGCCGAGATGGAGAGCGGGTTTTACAGCCCACACTTCATCGTGCCCAAAAAGAGCGGTGGGTCACAGCCAATCCTAGATCTGCGCGTTTTGAACCGCTGTCTGCACAAGCTGCCGTTCAGAATGCTCACGCAGAAGCGCATCCTCCGGTGCATTCGTCCTCTGGGTTGGTCTGCAGCATTAGACCTGATGGACGCGTATTTCCATGTCTCCACTCTTCCTCGCCAATGTCAGTTTCTGCGGTTTGCGTTTGAAGGTCGAGCTTGGCAATACAAAGCCCTCCCCTTCGGGCTCTCTCTGTCTCCGCGGGTCCTCACCAAGCCCGCGGAGGGTGCCTTAGCGCCCCTTCTGCTCGCGGGCATCTGCATACTCAATTTTCTTAACGACTGGCTGATTTTTGAGAAATTGATTATGCACAGAGACAAAGTGCTCCGGCACTTCCATCTGTTGGGGTTTCAGGTCAACCGAGAAAAGAGCAAACTCGCCCCCGTGCAGAGGATCTCTTCTCTCGGGGTGGAGCTGGACTCGGTCACCATTGCAGCGCGCCTCTCCGGAGAGCGTGCTCAGCTGATGCTGTACTGTCTGGGAGAGCTCGACAGTAAAATAGTGGTCCCACTGAAACTATTTCAGAGGCTCCTGGGGCATATGGCATCCGGAGCCGCTTCATGCCGCTCAGATTACTCTATATGAGACCACTTCAGCACTGGCTTCACGATCGAGTCCCCAGACGCGCATGGCACGCGCGCGCACACCTAGTCTCTGTTACTGCGCTGTGTCGCCATGCCCTCAGCCTTTGGAGCGACCCCTCGTTCCTACAGGCCTGGGTGTCTCTAGGACAGGCGTCCAGTCTTGTTGTCGTTTCAACAGACGCTTCCAACACGGGCTGGGGGGCTGTGCGTTGCGGGCATGTGGCTGCGGACCTGTGGAAAGGTACCCAGTTGCATTGGCATATCGCCTGGAGCTGTTGGCAGTGTTCCTCGCTCTCCACCGTTTTTGTCCGGTGCTGGAGCGGCAACACCTGCTGGTCAGGACGGACAGTACGGCGGCGGCAGCGTATATCAGCCGTATGGGGGTATGCGCTCTCGCCGCATGTCTCAGCTCGCCCGCCGTCTACTCTTCTGGAGTCATCCGCGGCTGAAATCGATGCACGCCATTCATATTCAGGCAAGCTCAACCGTACAGCCGATGCGCTCTCACGGCAGCCTTACGTCCTGGAGAATGGAGACTCCACCCCGAGTCTGTTCAGCTGATATGGGCGCGATCTGTTGCTTCCCCCGAGATCGCTCATTGCCAGTTGTTCTTTCCCTGACGAGTGCTCTCGGCACGGATGCACTGGCTTACAGCTGGCCTCGAGGCATGCGCAAATACGCGCTTCCCCCAGTGAGCCTGCTCGCGCAGTTACTGTGCAAGGTCACAGAGGACGAGGAACAGGTTGCTGGTTGTGCCCCTCTGGCTCAACCGGACCGGGATGTCAGAGCTCTCCCTCGCGATAGCCCTCCCCTGGCAGTTCCCTTCGAGAGAGCACCTACTCTCTTAGGGACAGGGCACCATCTGGCACCCTCGCCGATCTTTGGAGGTCCTTAGATGCAAGAAAGACTTGGGTAACCTCCGATTTTGGTGGCTATTACCGTCACTCGGGCTAGAGCCCCCTCCCCGAGCGCGCCTATGCCCTGAAGTGGAGTCTATTCACTGAATGGTGTGTCTCTCGCAGAGAAGACCCCCGTAATTTGCCAGATCAGCGTTGTGCTTTCTTTACGCCGAGAGAAGCTGGAGAGCAGGCTGTCACCCTCCACACTCAAGGTTACGTGGCTGCCATCTCCGCTCTCATGACGCGGTGGCTGGCAGCACCGTGGGACACATAACCTCATCATCCGGTTCCTCAGGGGCGCTAAGCCAATAAATCCACCCCGCCCCCTCTCATGCCCTCTTAGGATTTCTTCGCTCCTCGACTCAGTATATTTCTGTCCCTGAAGACAGCTCTGCTGGTCCCGTTGATATCGCTTAGAGGGTCGGGGACCCGGAGGCATTTTTCGGTCAGTGACTCGTGCCTGTAATTGGGCTGGCTTCTCTCACGTCCTGAGACCCCGCCCGCGATATGTGCCCAAGGTTCCTACCACTCCGTTTTAATACTAGGTAGTGTGCCTGCAAGCGCTGCCCTCGGAGGAGGTAGACCCAGCCCTTTCTTTATTGTCCAGTTCGCGTCTTGAGTATTATTCGGACCGCACTCAGAGTTTGGATCATCTGAGCAGCTATTCGTCTGTTATGGTGGTCGGCAGCAGGGAAGTGCCGTACTGAAATAAGTTTTTCCACTGGATTGTGGATGCCATTCTCTCGCTTATCAGAGCTGAGGTGAGCCGCTTGCCTCGAGAGTGCGTGCGCACTCCATTCGGAGATTCGCATCCTCTCGAGCGCGCGCACGCGGCGCCTCTCTAGCAGACATCTGTAGAGCTGCGGGCTGGGTGACACCCAACACATTTGCAAGGTTTTACAATCTGCGAGTGGAGCCGGTTTCCTCAAGGGTATTAGGTAACCCTTGGTGATTGAGGAAACAATTCGGAAGGGTGTTGAAACACACTTGCTGCGCCATTCTCCCTAACACGGAGGTACGTGCGCCTTTTTATCTGTCAGTAAAGTTCCCCGTCAGGTGAGCCCTGCAGATTCCTCCGTGGCCCCCAGCACTGACTCAGCGGAGTAGTCACTTGCTGGCCCACTATGTTGTAGGTCTGCCCGCTGGTCAGCCTGCGTTTTGGGTATAGGTGTCTGCTATGCGTGATCCCCACTAGGCGATCGCATATGCTTATTCCGCCACGGTTAAGTCCCCCCCCCCCTGGGCGGACCTGTGTCTTCCCTCTCCGATAACCACTCTTTTGCGAAGCATACTCCCCTTTTTAGGGCTAGTCCATATGTAAATTCTGCCATCAATCCCCCCTTGGGTAACGGATGGCCTCCGCAGCGTCCTCCCTATCGGGATTGCACGCTTCCCAACGTACTGTCGTATTTTCCTAGAATTATCTAGATGCTCACGACTTCCCAAAAAATATATCTAAATCCGTAAGACTTCTGTTGAAGTAGGACAGGGACACGTTGGAGGACCGCGCCTCCCATGATGTGGGTGCGTCACGCTTGCTTGACTATCCCCTCATCGGGGGCGTTGGTAAGGTGCAGTCATTATGGCGCTTTCCATAGTTCTCCCATTGCGTGGATTTTCACTAAGATCAAATCCACTTAATAGCACTGAAGTTCCCCAACCGAAGGGGAACGTTCGAGGTTACAGAAGTAACCCTTCGTTCCCCGAGGAGGGGAACGGAAGTGCTATACTCCGTCGCCATTATGACTGTCCCTTAGCTGTTTGAAAGTCTCTTCAGCTTAAAAGGATGGTGTTTGCTCGCTCCAGGTGTGCTTATATGCTGGGATAATTGGCAATGAAGCACACCTGTGCAAACTTACGCTGCCAATTCATTGCTTTCATTGGCCCGATCAATACTCTTTCAGACAAGCGGCTTCTAAACCGAATCCTCCCATTTCGTGGATTTTTTTACAAAGATCAAATCCACTTAATAGCACTTCCGTTCCCCTCCTCGGGGAACGAAGGGTTACTTCTGTAACCTCGAACGTTTCATTTGAATCGGAACAAGTTTTATTTTTCCAGTTTTGTAATGTTTTATATCACTTTTCAGGAATCAGTGATGTGAATCATTTTGGATTTTTTTAATTATAAATTTTTTATAGAACGCTGTCAGTGAACACAATATGGGCTACTGGAGAGGACACCAGTACATCGGTGTAGGACCAGGTACATTCATTTACAATCACATACACTGCTGTTAAAAAGTTTGGGGTCACTCAGGGGTTTGTTTTTGAATACCATGTGTACCATTATCTAGCTATGGTTTGTTAAATAAGTAACACATAAGGAACTGCTAAAAAAAAACAACAAAAAAAAACTGTTCTTACTATTCATCAAGAATGCTGTTAAATGGTTGCAAGGCTTGAAGCTTGCACTGCTATTCTGGACCAATAATTGAAACAGAAAGCAGTTAAAGGATGGCATGTTTTAATCAATCATTTATCTGATTCCATTGTAATTAATCTGACTCCATTTAAAGATGTTTTTATCGTTAACAAAGAGTAAGAATCTCAATGCCTTAAAGCAGGTAAAGTTGTTTATTAAGTTACATGCTTAAACATACAGACAGTAGAATAAACTACTGTATAGAGAAACTTAGAGGAACGTATGTACTGCTGTGTAACAAAGACTGAAACTGCCTTTGTTAGCAGATGAGGCTATGCACCAGTGTGCGGTGGAAGCTAAGTAAAAGCCATTCTCCCCCATCAACAGTCACGTTTTCTTATACCCTGAGCAAAGCATTGTCAAACATGAGTGAAATGCCAACCCCCAAAACCAGCTGAACATGAAAGCAAAGTTGAGGAGGTGGGGGAGAAGTACATTAACATACTCTCCTCAGGCCATGGCTCAACAATAGTAAATAGATTGTATATTGAAATACATCAATGTCTCTATTAGGTTCATCACTACAATGGTGAAGTTATAAACTGTCAAATGACACCAAACATAACAAAGTTATATGAAACATTACAAGCAGATTAATTGTGTATGGTGAAAAGCACACATGGTTTCTGTAAAACAACTGGCAGAGCTGTGATGAACTCTGCCACTCCAGAAGGACTCCTCCTTTGATTGCAATGTCCCAGTAGCCTTAGTCTTTCATTAGCATTGAAGGAATAATATATAATATTTTCTCAGGTGGTTCTCATGTTTTTCACAAAAAAAAAAGAAAAAAAAAAAGAAAAAGAAAAAAAAAAAAAATATATATATATATATATATATATATATATATATATATATATATATATATATATATATATATATATATATATATATATATATATATATATATATATATATATATATATATATATTAAACAGCATGGATTTCATCATTGATAGCATTTGCAATTCCTTATTTTTAATGTTATGAGACAACATTTTTTATCTGGAGAGACTTTGAAGGAAATTTAAAAAAAAATGTGAATCCTTTAAAATTGTAGAATTGTTATCAAAGTAAATCTTAAAACTGTTTTAGATTTGTATCCTATTTTATGTATTATTTATTGTTGTTGATGTTGTTCATTGTTATAAATCCACACTACCTTTCAAAAGTCTTGTCACCTATCCAAGATTTAGGAACAACAAATAACTTCTTGTTACTTCTAGTCAAGTATCATTTGGTATCAGATTACGCTTATTTTACTGAATTAATGCAGTCATGCCTTGATTTGTAATTATTTAATTAGTACAGTAAGGTCTGACTTTACTTGTTACTAAGTCTTGTCACTTAACAGAAATAATGTACAGTATAGAATATGAAGTCATGGTGCAGTGGAAAAAGAATTAATATTGTTTATGACTACCATGATTTTGGACAACTGCATCCATACATCTCTGCAATGACTCAAATAGCTTATTAATAAAGTAATCTGGAATGACAAAGAAAGCGTTCTTGCATGACTCCCTGAATTTTTGAAGATTTTTTGTATTCATCTTCAATGCCTCCTACATCTTACTCCAGACATGCTCAAGAACGTTCATATCTGGTGACTGGGTGGGCCAATCCTGGAGCACTTGACCATTTTTGCTTAGAGGAACTTTGATGTGGAGGCTGAACTTTGAGAAGGAGCACTATCCTGTTGAAGAATTTACCCTCTTTTGTGGTTTGTAATGGGCAGCACAAATGTCTTGATACCTCAAGCTATTGATGTTACCATCCACTCTGCAGGTCTCTTGCACACTCCCATACTGAATGTAACCCAAAAACATGATTTTTACTTTACTAAACTTGACTGAACTTTCTGTGAGAATCTTAGCTCCATGTGGGTTCTAGTAGCTCTTTGGTATTTGTGATGATTGGGATGCAGTTCAACAGAGGTTTCATCGGAAAAATCTACTTTCTGCTACTTTTCCAAATGATCAACCAGAAGTCAGGTTATTATTTGTTGCTCTTACAAATGGAATAGATATCAAGACTTTTGTTAGGTAATGTATATACATTATAGAAAAGTGTTATTTATAAACTGTTTGCACTTAATATCTGGTTTTGCCCCTAAGGTTGATATGGCAATAACTGTAAACTAACTCTCTCTTTAACACTGAGGGCCCTATTATACACCCGGTGCAGTGTGGCGCAAGGCGCGGCGCAATAGTCTTTTGGTAGTTTCAGCTTGGCACAAGAGTCGTTTTGAGGCGTTGCGCTATGCTTTTTAAATAGCAAATGCATTAGCGCTCATTTGTGCGCCCATAGGCGTTCTGGTCTAAAAAGAAAGGCGTTGCTGGCGCGTTGCTATTTTGAGAAACTATAATAGATTTTTCTTTAGACCAAAAATAATCCGTCGCAGAGTTGCGCCTCGCTTACGCACTGCTTAATAGGCACAAGAGAGCAATAGGCAAATATCTTTACATATGAAAAAATTTAAATATTAGGGATATATATATAGGATATAATAAGAATAGATATAGAATATAAATATAAAGAATTCAAATATTACAAAACATTATTTTCTAGCCTACATAACTATGAAAAATCACTGCTTTTATGTCTTCTTCATCTCGGGAGGCTTTTTCAGTTCATTCATAACAATTTTCTTTTGTATAATGTTATTATTATTAGCAGTAATATTTATTATATCCACATTTATATTTGTTTTATTAAAAACAAGCTTAGATTTGTCCACCTGTCAGGTTTTAGACCATATGGGGCACAGCATGTGTTTTAGAATATAACTCAGGTTTTTGAGCACATTTTGTTATTATTATTCATTCATTCTTTGCTGGAAATTATAACTGAATTTAGAAATAGTTTTGAAACGAATATTTGCGCTTAACAAACAAAATTATTTATTTATAGACTAATTGATGTCTGTGTGTAAAGGTTTCCCTATCCAAAAGCGAATGTGAAAGTAGTTTCATTATCTCTCATTCTCACGCAGTAGATGCTCTGTTTAACAGTTTTCTGTTAAAAAAACTGTTAACTGTTTGCTTGTGAAATGCTCATTTTTTCCTCTTAGACTTACTTTGCGTCCTGTAAATAGCGATTTACTTTGGGGAGGAATTTCACAAAACGTTTCATTCTGCACGCTTTTTAAAAAGATAAATAAAGTAAACGTTTAAAACTTTTTTGTTTACTTTGCATCTCCAAAATCAATAACTGTCTGGAAGATTAAATGGTATATTTATTTACAATAAAAAACAGACTGATTAACGAACAGCCTTGAGCCTAAATGACTGACCAATGCCAAACTAAACGCGCTCTCTTTTCTTTTTAACACAAATAAGATTTCATTTCAAGTTTTCAACATTTTGTTATGTTCTTAATCATCTGTGTAGGAGCTCATGGTCGTTTTGTGCCGCATGGAGATGGAGGAGTTCAGAGAGAAGCACGAACACAGACATTAGAGCCCGATGTTTGGATAAAAGAGGTTCAGAGTCGCGGTCAAGGAACACGCAGGAGAATAACACTTCACCATCTCCAGCTGTAAGAGCATCTGATCTGCCCTACACACACAAACACACACACATGTTTATATTAGTGGTTTACAACGACTCTCCATAGGTGTAATGCATTTTATACTGTAATAAACACTTATTATTTGCCCCTACCAGTAAACCCAACCCTCACAGGAAACAAATTTTGAATGTCAAATAAAAACCCTATTAAGTATGAAAGCATTTAGAATTTCCTCATAAACCACCTCAGTGTTGTTGGTCTCATCCATGTCAAATTTCTATTCTAAAAATGAAATTGATTAAAACATTGTTGTGTAGGTCTATAATCATTAATTTTTTTCATTATGTAAAGCTACCCAATCCATGTTATATGCGTCCAATCACCAACAAATACATCTGACTAAAACTCCTAAAAATGTCTGTTGTGCATACAATTAGTTTTTAAAGAGTTTTTTTTTTTTTTGTTATTTGGTTGTTAATTATGTTTAATAAGTATGTTGCAAAAATATTTGTATATATGTTTTGCCACATTATTTAAAATGTGGCAAAGAAATAACTAATTAAAATTATATTTTTTGATAGGTCAAGTAAAATTTTTTCCGTATTAGCCATTAAACATCTTTTAGCCCTTTTATAAGTCGGAAATTTCATTAATTAAAAAGGTCTTAAAGTCTTAAATTTGACTTTTTAATACCAGCAGACACGCAGCAACACAGTACAGACAAACACATCTAGATTTGGAGTAGCTGCACAGGGGTGCGTTTCCCATTGTTAGCCAACTAAGGTTGCAAGTTTTGTCATTACAAGCATAGTTCATTGATTTGCCATTTCCCAAATCCATAGTTGCAACAAACAATCGCAAACTGCGTCATAAGCGTCTGCGCTTGTAACTACACCTCTGGAGCTGTAGTTAGACACATAGTTCCTGGCTGTGTTCTATTCCCAGTTATCCCCCCTTTGCCCAATTAATTTAGAACATTCTAACATTTAAACTTGGAATGATAAAAAAAAAAAAAAAAACGCATTACAGTCATCACTTTCATGTGTAATTTACTTTCAAAGTATTTTTTTAATGGGCACACATAAAACAATATAATTTGCACAAAAAATTATGGAGTTCTTCTCTAAAGAAGTTATTACTCCATCCCCATTTAGAGCCTCATTATGGGTGTTTTACATTGCAACTAACATGGTTCAAGCAATGGATCTGCGCCAGAGAAACTATAGGTTTTGGGAATCACTCGTCACTACATCGTTCTTTTCCCAAACGATGCATCGTACTATAGTTCAACTGCGAGTTACGTCACTGTTTGGGAAACGTATTTCAGATTGATGTTTGGTTTTGTGTTTGCAGGCTAGAGGAGGTTTTGGTCATGGGTCTACGTATGAATGAGGGAATCACCCATCAGGTACAGGAGGTCACTGTGATGTTTAATTGAGATGGGAAAATTTTCTGAGTATTTCCTATTGTATTTTTCTTCGTCTTTTAGAAAAACTAATAATAGTTAACCTAACTCGATTAGTTAACTTAAAAAACCTACTGTAGTTAAGCCTTCAAACTGTACTTTTAAAATCATCTATTATTTTTGTTTGTGTGTTAAAATAATTTGGTTTTATCCTGTAAGTTACTAATAATTTATTCAAAAATTGAAATGCTGCCATTTAGAGAATTTGGTGGAAAATAACAAAAAATAGTCCCGTGTGTTACCAGGAAGCGGGGTTGATTGCCTCATCATGTTTTCAGACGATTATATTTACTAGCACATTAAAAATGTTTTAACTTCAGAAGTGTTAAGAAATCAATATTTCCTGGAATAATCTTGATTTTCAGTCACAACAAATGAAAAAAAAAGCATATTTGTAAATACTGTTATATTCTAATAATTTTTAGATTTATTAATTTATTTACAATAAATAACAATAAATGAAAGACCTTCATAGAATAAAACAAATATAACAGTTTTACCTAAACCCATACCAAAAAATTCACTGTCCCTCCATGTTTTTCCATAGTGATATTTGAATACTTTGTATTCCCATCTTCACTTAAATACATTTACTTGTGAATTTATCTATTAGTTCTTGGTTTTTACATTGCTTTCTTTTTTGTTAAATTGTAGCACTGGGAGTTATTCAGCCCAGAAGCAAACCTTCAACAAGTTTTTGGGAAATCAGCAAATATTCAGGAATTGCAGGGTGGAAGATTTCTAATACTTGATGATAGGTAATGTTTACTGCATACATTTCATATGTTATGCAACTTGATTAAATAATCATGTCTATGTTGTATGCTGCATTTTCAGTTTTCTGTGATATGTATCTGTTTTAGGGGTTTGCGGTGCTCCTGGGAAGGATTAGTGCTGCTGGACAGCATCTTACCCACAATACTGCTGGAACTGGAGATGTTTTTCCACAGCAGGGGAATCAAAAGGACACAATAAAGACACTCATTTAGACAGACTGATGACACACACAGCAAATAGCTAATGAGGTAAAAACAAAACAAAAAATTCTCCTATGTAAGGAATTATGTACTTTTGATAAATGACCAAATGTTAAACTTTTTTTTTTACTGCAGTTCTATTTATTTATTCACAAAAAAATATTATTTAAAAAAAACTGTTCACACTGTATATGCATCAAATTGAATGCCCCTAATCTATAAAGAGCACATTTTTTATTTTTTAAAAATTATAATGATGATGAAAATTATAATAATAATTGTTTTTAGTATTTTGTTTATTTAGGTGGAATAAGAATGTCATGATATTATTTTGATATATTATTTTAAAAAATTATAATAATTAAAACACATGGGCTATAATATGTCAAACAAGCAGTGTTGGGGAAAGTTACTTTTGAAAGTAATGCATTACAATATTAACCTACTGCCCCCAAAACTAATTGTGTTACTTAATTACTTTTTGTGGAAAGTAATGCCTTATGTTACATCTAAGTTACTTGCTGAGGTTTGATCTCTTTCAGAACTTGCAGATGTTTTTTTTCCCCATTTTTATATAGGAGCTTAATACTACCTGGAGTATATAGATATTAAATAGATTCAACGTTATTGTCATTACACATGTACAAGCACAATGCAAAGTGCAATAGCAGCAAGTGCAGGATAGGTATAAGTTATAAAGTGCAGTTATAGAAAGACTATGGAGATAATAACAGATGGATGTACTATGAACATTATATACAGGTTGTATTAATGTGTTTGCTACTTTTGTACATTTTGCATTATTAGTGAAGTAAATTCACTGTCCATTGAGATAAAAATCGCAATAAAAGCTAACATGGAATAATTTATAATAAAGAAAAAACAGATTAAACCTTAAAAATGTTTTAAAATTTCATTGTTCCAATAATTACTGATTATAAGAGAACAGCAAATCCTCATTTACAATGATCTCTTAAAGATAATCAGACACCGAAGACTGGAGTAATAACAAATTCTGCTTTGAATCACAATAGTAAATTAAAATTGAAACTACATTCAATATCAAAAGGTATTTTAAAATTGTTATAATATTTCACAGTTTAACGTTGTATTTTACTGTATTTATTTGATCAAATAGATGCAGCCTTGGCAAGCAGAATTGGCTTTTATAAAAACATTAACAAATCTTACCATTTCTAAACTTTTGACTGGTTGTATGTGCTTAAATATATATGTAAAGTACACTGTAAAATATTTAGTTTTATAAATAAAATCAATATTTATTTATAGTTAAATAAAACTTAATTTGTGAACCCAACACTGGGTTGGGTTACACCATGGGTTGGGCATGGTGAAATTACTTCACCATGTGGGCCTAATATCTTTAGTACAATTGATTTTTCATTGCTATTTGAAGTTTCTCTCCTTCAAACCTCCCACGTGCTCAGTAAAAGAGAAGGTCATTGAAGAATCATGCATTTTTCATTCACTTTTGAGTTTCTTCCTGTTCAAAGTTTTTAGTTCTTGTGCAAGCACAATTAATGTATATTATTTCGATCGATCTTATACATCTAACTATCATTCAAAAAGATTAAAATGAGTTAAATGTTTTTGAGACAAGATAACATTATAAAATATAATCACAATGCTTTTCTTTTTTTGACTGCGTTTGATTTAAAGGGTTCGCTGTCCATGGTTCTGAACCCCTTTTCCATAACGTTACTAAACAAATGGTTAAAAATAAAGACACAAACCGTTTTAGAACAAGTCAAAGGTGAGTAAATAATGGCAGAAGTTTCGTTTTACATGAACTAACTTTTTAATAAAAGTTGCAAACGTGCTGAAACAGATATGCCAATTGCTTGTCTTACCGTTAATGCAGCTTGCCTTTTTTTGTAAGCATATCTATGCATTAGTGTATTCTGGCAAATTCATTAAATCTACAGGGAATTAATCCCTCTATCGTGTTGTATAATGTCTGTTATGCAAAGCGTGATTGTATTGTCAGATATTCACACATTTGGGTGCGTGGGTGCATTTTCGTGCTAGCCTATGAAAGAATTTTACGCCACCGAACCGATGATGACTCAAACAACTGCAGATGATGAACCAGAGCTTCACCGCCCACCATTTTCTTCTCGCATCCATAAATGGCCATTTTGTGACTAAACTGGTTTATCCTAAACGCGGAGGAGTGATTTTAGCCTGTCTGCAAGAATAAGCTGAGGTGAGGGACGTGGTATAAATATGCTCGGCTGCACTCATGAATATTAACAATTGACGTAACGTCATTTGATTGACCACATTGTCGATGTGCTGAAGAGAAGTGGAGGGAACACTTTGTTAGCTGTCACTAACTTTTACTTTTTAAAGGATAGAAACGACGCAGTGTTTCTTGAGACACGAATATTTTATTGTCAGTGATACAAAACAACTGGAAACGAAAATGAGGTAATGTATGTTCAATATCAAGTAACAGAAGCATATTTTATTGAAGTTTTAGCTAGTATAGCTAAGAAACGTGTAAACAAATTAGAGGTAATACATTAAATGTAAAGAAAACACACACAAGCGCTTACTTTTTAACATTTCTTTGCTGAAAAGAATTGAAGCCATTTAAGTTTGTCCAAACTAGTTTGTAACTGGTTGACCAGACACTCAGCAAATCTCATTTTAGGATAAAAGTATAAATAGCTAATAAATGAGAGTTATCAATTTTATGGTAAGTGGAAAGATCAAGACAAAAACAGTATTTAGGTAAGCTAAATTATGGTCACTAAATCAACCAGTGCAATAAAAAGGCATGCATCATTTGATATAGCTATTTAAAGTCACTTAAATGTTAACAAAAACAATCAGCGATATTAAGTGGTTTTATTCAATTCAGAACTCTTGTTTTTGTTGATTAAACAATCTACCCAAAACTAGTATTAAAATTATTAAAATAATAAACAATTAAAAATCAAACACATATAATCAACTGTCACTTTAATTTGTTAGTTTTTTAAAGCAACCACCACTTAAATGAGTATGGAGACATCTTCATGAAATAGTTTTATTTGTGTAAAAATATTTTACATAACAATCAACCTATACATCCATGTATACCAGTAAAGCTCATTATAGGTTGAATGAGGTATATGGTTAAAATAACCTTTTTACGATGACGTAGTTTGTTGCTGATTCACAAGTTGGGTTACACCAGCTAATGACCAGTTTAAACCAGCTATCTCGAGCCTGATTTTCCATCAAAACATTTCATAAATAGTACTTAGCATTATCTGTCCTCTGGTCCAGCCAGGGACATGTAGAATTTAATAATTCTTACATAGGTGAATAATTATTATTCATAGGTCTGAATCAGAGTCCCTAGTGTGACTCTTTTACTGTATCTGACACCTCTCAATTGGTGTGCTCTTTTTCGGGGTGCTCGGACCCAGGACGCGACGTAAGTCACTGCTGAAGCTCGGTCTGCGCGCGAGCGGGTGCACGGCTCCACACGGTTCGTTCACGGCGCGCTTGTTTCTCTTTCTGCTGCTCAGGGCGTGGTACGTGTGGATAGAGATGTCTCGATGTAGAGAGGGTCTGGTTTCTGTCGGAAGGCCTCCCAGAACCGCCAGGGTCTCAAACATCTCCTCAAGGTTGGTGCAGGTTTTTGCGGACACCTCAAAAAGGACACTGTCCTCCCCGAGACACTGGGCGACATCTGAGCGCTGCACAGCTCTCGGGGAGTCCACGTCTGCTTTATTGGCGCAGATTATTATTGGAAGCTGTCTGTTTTCTTTGGATTTGGTCAACTTGGATTTGGCTGTGAAAATCTCCTCGCGTAATGAGCAAACCTCTGTGAAAGAGTCTCGGTCAGTCACGCTGAACACCAGCAGGAAGATGTCACCTGTTGAGGTCATAACGCACAAGAAATTAGAACTTTGTTCATTTATGTTATTACATAACAGTAAAAGATAATATTAATAATACATCTTGATAAAAAATTAAACATCATTATTCAATAATAGAAGAATAATTGTACTTTTAATTATATTTACTTTTATTTTACAAAAATATTAATTTAATATTTTAAATAACACTTTTATTAAATAATTTTATAAAAATTCAAAAATCAAACGAAATGAGGGCTTTGCTATTAAATTAATTCTTAAAAGAACAACAATAATCTACCGTCTAGGTTTATAAATAGATAAGAACATAAAATATTAAATCTAAAAAAAATATTTTGTAATTCATTTTATTGTGCGCTTAATTGTATTTATGTTTTTATAAGAAATAATTTAAATTAAAGTGCTCATACTGACCAGTTAAAATAGTCAGTCTTCGTTTGGCAGGAAAGTCTCTCTCTTTGGACGCGTCCAGGATGTCTAGCTGGTATCTTTCTCCTCGGATGTGGTACAGTTTGCTGTGAAAGTCTTCGCTTGTTGGCTCGTAATGTTCCTCGAACACTTCTTCACCTAAGAAGCGGCGTATCAGCGCTGTTTTCCCCACTCGGGGCGCGCCAAGCACTACTACACGCCGGTAATGACTGGGTTTCACGCTCACCAGCTCGTCATTCTTAACCTCATATCTCATATGCTTTGTTTTATGCAGCTGAGAGAGAGGGTCTAGAGATCTCCGGGGTTTGCGTTCAGACGAGGAGGGTCGCTTTCCAGTGCTGGAGGAGCGTACCACCCGCGCCTTGGACTCTGGATGCGTGCATTGCAAAGACGCATCAACTGTGGCGGAATGATAGCTACAACTAGTGAGTGTCGCGGTGCCATCAACTGAAAGGAAAGCTTTATCAGTTGCATTCACCTCCATGCTCCCGGCTGGTATCATCCAGAACGGCTGGTGCTAGTCTGCGGTGCAGGGGATCAGCTGCTCGTACCCCTCAGTGAGCTTTACGCGCTCCCGCCTCGCTTTTATATGCTGATGCTGGACGATGGGCAGTGTCGTGCTGTGCGTCATTCAGCGCTTATAGGTGCTCAGGCTTCTCTGGTGAACCTGAAATATTCTGCTGCCTTTTTAAGGTATTGCCTACTGCAGTGTTGCTTGGAATGTTGCCATTCTTATTTCTTATGTAGAGATTAAGGTTTTTACATTGCCTGCAGTTAAGTGTAACTAACCTGTTTTTAATCTGTTTTACTGGTGAAGCCAAAAGTTTAAGGTTTTGTTTTAAACCACACTTATAATGATTTGTGATAACTGCATGATTGTTTCTGTGAAAAAAATAAAGTGAGAAAGCTAAAAGAAATAAACAATTAATACATTTGATTTCTGAAGTTTAGTTTGCTATTTCCCACTTCAATTTTGGCAGTATCCGGGATCGCCCTTTATACCCTTAAACAGTGCACTTGTTTGAGGTGCAGCCATTTGTAGTGGTGTCCGAAACTGTGAACATTCCAAAGCACACAGTCAATCCCAAGTGAATCAATACACACTTAGCTAGAAAAATACATATAATGCATTGAGAGATTGAGACTTTGCACGTCAAATTATTTTCTACATCTGACCACAAGATGGCATCCACAGCGGAATCCTATTTGTGTAAGTTTCTATATAAATTATTTAATTTACAAATTAACATTTGCATACATGACAGAAATCAAAATAATTACTAATAGACAGCTCAATAAGTACTATAACTATCACAGGGTCTGATGTTGAAATATAATCTGTCTGAAGGATTTATTAACCAGTAAGACATACAAAATGGCTTCCAGGACATTCATTTTCTTTCACCGGGCTATATAAGTGGACTAATGTAGGGAATAGCAAATGATGGTAAATGGTTGGGCTGTGTAATTAAATCGCACATATCTCGATTTTAAACACTGCCGTATTAGCCAATTGCAATTGTGTGCAAAATGAAATATATATAGATGAATTACGCTGTTTGTAAACATTCAGGATGCACACACAGGGAGGTGGCAGAAAAACCCCGGGAGCACTAGCATTTACAGTAAGGGAATGACATCCTGTGCAGTACAATTTTTTACAATTATATTGATTACATATATATATATATATATATATATATATATATATATATATATATATATATATATATATATATATATATATATATTATTTACATAATGCTTTCATTGTCATATAACAGCTTGTCATCCAGTAATAAGCACAGTGATTCAGCAAAATTAATGCTAGAGTGGCTTTTATCTGTCAGGCCCATTTGCAATAGCACCCTCCCATTAAATATTGGCCAAGACGAAATGGCCTAGCATCCAGCCCCAAATATTCAATCTCATTGAAGCTCCAAGTGTTAACAAGATGTGTAGTCTTGTGCAAGAAATAATGTTCCATGATTACCAGATTTAAAACTATGTAGTGCTAAAATCCGAGGTCACTGAATGAATTTGTGAATATAAAACCAACTTTACCTTAACGCCCCATTCACACGGGCTTCAGCGTCAACGATTGATTGGAGGCATGTCTGAAGTTGGGGCTAACGCGATCGTCATAGCAGCGTCAGCCAATGAAATTCAGTCAGCAATAGGTCACTGTCTATTTGCATACAGCGATCTGATTGGCTGACGCTTCTGTCGGTGCTTGAAAAGTTGAGCTAGTCCCAATTTTCAAGTGGTGCTCACTGCAGAGCCATTTGGGCAGAGCTGAGCTCCAGCGAGGGGAAGCTTGAGCTCTCGCTCCTCCTTTCTTGCACTTCTACGAGTGATGTCACTGGGGGTAGGGTTGGTGTACACATTAAAAGAGCTTATAAGAGAGGATCCACATTGCAGTTCGGCAACGCCTGGCATCACCAATTCAAAATAAATGGGAAGCGTTGATGCTGACGTCCCGTGTGAATGGGGCATAATAACTTACACTTTCACATTTTATTCTTAGCATTCAGTGTCCTGAATACTCCAGCATTTTAAATTAGGTCGTTACTTCATTCAGCTCCCTTTTAGCCAAAGACGTCTGTAGTCGGCATTAAAAGCACTGTAGTATACGGTAAATGTTAAGTTTTCTATTTTTGGACTTTCTAATTTGGCATCCTACTGCACAACACCGCATGTTTACTATTGCCACTGGTTTCTTTTTGCCACCGGGACCCCGTGTGACGTTGGTTGGTAATTTGTTTATAGATTATATAATTTCCCCCACCCAGAGCAAATGCATGACTGCCGATTAATAGCCAATTGAGTGAGTACACTTTCATTCTACCCAATCAGATTCACGCATCTGAACTATGTGGAAAGCCCACAATAAAACAAACAAACAGAAAAGCACAGACAAGTGGGATGATGGGGTCTGCCACTTTAGAAGAATTAATACATTAATTAATATCAAAGAAAAACAGCATGTCGGTAATATTGGAATATTTGGCCTTCAAAGTCACAGACACCAAATAAAAACAGAATTGTTGCCACAGCACGAGGAAATACAACAACCAGCACCTAAAAAAACACCACAGGTGGCTATGTCTTGTTAAAAAGTTAACTAAAAGTATTGCCCGTGATACTCTGTAGTAGCTAGCAACTGCTAAGTACAATTTCAGAGTTGTTTGCAATTGAACAAAGGCACCAGGAGATAACGAATCGGTCATAACTCACTACTGTTTGCTCTAGGGAAGAATTAGTATTTAAAATGTAAATAAAAGTTGTAGTTAGTTAATATCTTTTCAGTTTCATTTTAAACTAACACTCACTGCATTTAAGCAATAAGAAGCTATGATACAAAATATTGAGCTGAAGGTTGACTACAAAATTAAATCGCAAATCAAATCGAAAAACGTAATATCCTTTTAAAAAATCGCAATTAGATATTTTCCCCAAATTGCACAACCCTATGGGTGATTTTTATTAATTTGTTCAATGAAATATCATTCATTCATTCAATGAATATGTGTTTAATGTGTTAATATGTGAATAATTCAGCTGTAATTGCTATCATTTTGTTTACATTTGCTCCTCAGGTTTTACCTGCGCAATCTAGTGTATCATTTGGAGTATCTGTGATTTAAAAATATTTGAGACTTCACAAACAGGAGTCATCCAGCAAAACATGTCACTCTTAATGGTACAGTTCGCCCAAATATTTTAATTTCCCCATCATTTACTCACACTCAAGTTACTTTAAACCTTTCTGAATTTCTTTATTCTGTTGAACACAAACAAGCTATTCTGAAGAATGTTTTTTTTAGCGGCCATTTACTGTCATAGTAGGAAACAAAAAATAGTATGTTTGACCAATATTATTTGTTTTCAACAGACAAAAGAAACTGACTAGTATAAGTAGATGATGGTGGAATTGATGGGGGTCTAATTCATATGTCTGTACTTTTTTACCTTAATATTATTAGTCCCCTCGAGAAATTATACATTTTTGAATGACTGCAGAACAAACTGCTATTGTTTAGTGAATTAACTAATTAACATGGAAATTGCACTTTAAGCGGAATAATAGTATCTTACAAAATAACTAGCACAATTTCAGGTACTGTCATCATTGCAAAGAGAAAATAAATGTGTTATGAAAACTATCATAGTTAAAATTTTCTCTTTGCAAAACATCACTTCGAAATCCATCCATTCATCCATGGAGTCAATCTTGGGCCATATATACAAAATAAAAGAGTTTTGCAAACAAAAAATAAAGTATTTGCGCAAAAAATAAATAAATAAATGCAAATCTCAAAAACAAACAAAAAAAGTGCAAAGCACAATTTTAGAAAAATATAAAATTATTTTACTAACAAAAATAAAGAACTGCAAAGGGAAAATTAAGTTTTGAGAAATAAGAATAAACTTTGCAAAACAAAAAAAAACTGCAAATAAAAGTCTAACAGTGCAAAAAAATAAAAAATAAAAAAATCTTTGCATATATTTAACCATGAGTTTGTGATGCTATTTTCACTTTGCACTTCTGCCACCCTGACTCCGCCCCCTTGTCAAATCAGGGCCACTAAGTGAAACGTGCGCAGTTTACACTGCTTGATTTTATTTGCAGTTCTTTTATGTTTGCAAATTAAATTTTTATTTCTCAAAAAATTATTTTCGCTTTGTGATTTTTGGAAATTTGTATTTATTTATTTTTGCTCAATAATAATTTTTTTTTGTTTGCAAAACTTTCATTTATTTTGCAAGTATATAAGCCTCTAGATTGATTTCATATCCATCCATCCATCCATCCATCCATGCCCATGCATGTATTAACACAAACAATCTTATGTAAAAGTATAGTGGAGAAAGTAAGGGCAAGTGAATGACTAATTGATAGATCCAGCACATAATGTCTTAAGGGAACCTTTTATAAGGGTTTAAACAGTGTGTGGCAACAGTCTGTGAATATAGCCACCCTCTAATAGTAAAAGTTAATTAATTCTTTTTCTTTTATAATCACACTTGTTAAAAACAATCTGCAGAAACACTTTGATTCACATTCTCCCTTAGAGGGGAAAACTCTTTCGATAAGTGAACTCGTTTACATCAAAACAACTGGACCAACTAGCTCACCATGTAGGTATGAAAAAGACTTGCACAGGATTAATTGGTTATTAAAAATATTGCCAGGTGGTTAAAAAGCTAATGGACTTAGAAATACACAATACAGAGTGACATGAAAAATAAGAACACATTTTTTTTATGTAAATACAGTTAAAGTCATAATTATTAGCCCCCTTTTTTCTTTTCATATATATATATATATATATATATATATATATATATATATATATATATATATATATATATATATATATATATATATATATATATATATATATATATATATATATATATATGAAAAGAAAAAAAAATATATATATATATAAGTAAGAAGTTGAAGTAAGAATTACTATCACCCCTTTAATTTTCTTCTGAAGAAAGTCGTATTTGTTTTATTTTGGCTAGAAATAAATAAGTTTTTTAATTTTT